CACTTCCGGGTATCTCCTGGTAGAAATGTGGCAATCCACCCAACACGTGGCACTACGCCATCCTCAGACTTGCTTCACTTCACGAGCACTGGATAGCATTGGTCTGCTGACGTTCTACCAAAGTACGTGCCTCCGATCGACGAGGCACAGAATGCCAAACCATGAAATGAAAGGAATGCGGTGACAGTGACTGCAATCAGTCTCCAAAGAGGACAGCACTCAACCAATCCTAACAGCTCTCCCTACTGTTTTGCAGCGTGCCTGACGTATTTCAGTTGGAGTGCGTAGCATTTGATGCGGATGCACTTGACAAGAGACAGACACGTGGAGGAAGAAGGACAAGGAGGCTCGCTGTTGAGCGACACTCTTTCCACTTCAACCTCCACTTCCCACCACACCCAACAGACACCCACTTTCCTGCCAACACTAACGCATGGAGGAAGCTGTGAAGCCTGGGTGACAGCCCCACTCCATCCCATCTTCGCACTGCTCGTCTGCCCACACTTCCCCTAATGACTCAGCCTAGGTGTGCGACAGAACAGTCGCCTCACCACCACACACAAGGACTACCTCTCGTGTAGACATGGTCCTCTATTCTGACAATCGAGTCAATCAACAAACCGCTTCACACATTGCAGCGCATCGCTAGTTCGTCGGTCAATGAGACAACAGATTCTTGCATTCTCCTCCAAATCACATCCTGGCACAGCCACTCGAATATGTCCTTGCTGTCGATAGGGTTGACATAACCACTTATTACGTGCCATATTCGCCAATTCATCGGTGCAGTGGTCAGAGGCGCCTCGGTGCCGAAGCCGAGTTTGTTTGCGTACTCCACGAGGAGGTCCATGCCGCTTCTCTCCCTCTCCTCCACATCGTCGACAATGACAAGTGCAAGTGTATGGTGGGGCGTCAAGAGGCGCAGAAAGGCTCCTAACTCCTTTCTAGCATTGTCTTCACGTCGCAAAAGCACTGAAAGGCTCTGTGCGTAGAGAACGCAGTCAAATGGACGAAGCCTTGCTCTTTGAAGGTCAGCAATTTCCTCGTGCTGATTTTTCACTACTGCAGTATTTAATCAATGATGAGGCAAATGAGGCAAATTGAACCCAAATAGGTATGACACGCTGTGTCTGATCATATGGAGATCTAGGGAATGGAAAGTTAACTACATCAAAACAGTCACTGCCATATTCATAG